CAAGTACAACTAGGTGAATATAGATTAAAACACCCCCCCCCTCCCAGGCAGGAAAAAGCAATTATTATTATTCAATCCCAATATTTATTAACATACATTGCACAATTATATACACATGAACACACTGAAGAACACAGGATTTGGTATAGAGATGTACACAGTACTGTATACCAATTTTAACAAATACAGTTAGAGTAGGGTTTTTGCATGACGTAAAGAAGAAAAGTTAACATTTATTTGAGGAAAAAACTTTAAACTGGATATGGTTCCACTGCATAATTGTAATCAAGAAAAGTTCTTGATCTTGTTAGCCAAGATATCTTATGATAAACAATATTATGAAATTTCCTTAACAGATATAATTTCTCCCTTCCCCCATCATTTGCCTTGCTCCTCTCCTCTCTCACCACTTTTACAGGCTACTTCTCTCCTCTCTCTACCTTCCTTGCTCTTTCTTTCCCCTCTACTTTCGTCTTCCCCTCTCCTTTTCTTGCATCTCCCCACCCCCCTCCCTTGCTTGCTTCTAGTATTTTACCCAGTGTAAATTATTATGTATCTCTCCTGTCTATGCTCTTGGGGTACACATTTTATATTTTTAAGAGGTCCCATTAATTTAAATGTTTGAATTTATTCCAGCAGTAAAAGATCATTGTACACTCTCCAGGTCAGCAATTTCTCCAGCTTTGAATGTGGGCTGTTTAGTGTGTAACACTATTCCATTCTAGAGAGCGCTAATGTCTTAAAAGTATCATTGGTGTGGCATCTCTTGTTTGAAAGGTTCTTGTTATCCGACCTGTCATTTTCCTTCTAGTTGTGACAACTATTTTGTTGTGTTCTTTAAAAGTAAGATCTTCCAACACAATTACTTGTAAGTCTTTTACATTGCTATTTCTTTCAATAGTGTGATTTGACTGCATTTTATATGTAGTTTCTGTTATTATATTTTTGTTTTTTCTATAGTAACTGGAACTTATCCTCATTAAATAACATATTTTCTTTGGCCCATTGAAAGACTTTATTAACAACAGATTGGAAGTTTGCTGCTATATTGTCTACTCTCGTGAAAATCCTGAGGTCACCTGCAAAGGATGATACAGTACTAAAGTTTGCATCCTTCTCTATATCTGATATAAGGTTGAGAAAAAGTACTGGAGAAAGCACGGTACACCATTGGGGGGGGGGGGGGGGCTGATCTTTTCATGGTGGATGATCCCAATTTTACTTTGTTGACTATTACACTCTGGGTTCTATTCGTTAGGAAGTTGAAGATCTATCCCCTACTTTACCATTAATTCCTTTTGTGTGCATTATATGTGCAATAACACAATGGCCACATTTACCAAAGATCTTCGCAAAATCTGTGTACAGTATATTACATCAGCATTTTGTGCATCTTCCATGGTATCCAAGGACATGTCATAGTACTCACTTAGTTGTATTTGTGGGAGTTGAGCTTTGGCTCTTTGGTCCTGCCTCTCAACTGTCAATCAACAGTTGTCTAGCAATTGTGAGGCAGGAGCACCTTGTACTGAACCTTTGTTGCCCGGGGTTATCTAGACGTTGACTCCGTGTGTTTTGTGATCTTACTTTTTAGCACTCAAAGATTTTTATTAGTCTATCAGTTCTTGCATCTGCTTTGCTACCACATTTATGAATTGACAATCTCTGCTGTTTTAAGTATGTTGGGAAAAACATCAGTATCTAGGCTACATCTCTAAAAGATATTTAGGGCCTGTGATAGTGGTTTTTGTGCAATTCTTGATGAATATAAAATTCCAGGAGTCCGGGCCTGGTGCAAGGGAATGCTGTCTATGGCCACTAGACAGCATTGATGTCACCCTAACCCCACTATGTCACTGGGGTTAGGGTGACATCTAATACTGCACATAGTTTGACAGTGGTCTCGCATTCATAAAGAATTCGTTTGGATTCTTAATCTTCAGTGAGTTCAGGACGTCACTGAAAACAAGCATAATGTAGCTCCAGTATTTTGTTAATTACTTTGTTGTCATCTGTGAAAGTTCCATCACCCTTCCACTAGGGCCCAATGCTAAATGTAGTTTTTGATCTAGATTTTGCATAGGAGAAAGTATTTTGGATTCCTCTTTTTCTACTTATGGCCTCTTACTCTTTTTTACATGATTCTTGCAATTTTAGCTCAATTCTTCCCATTTTTTTTTTACACAGCCTTCTTTGTAGTTCTTGGGATACAATGGAGTGTTTGAGTTCTCAATGTGTTCTCAAGTAAAATTCCAATATGGAACATACAATCCATCAAGTGATGGATAACACTAAATAAATACAATGTTATATGCATATTCTGACACTACTATCATAGCTGTTTCTTGCATGAACAGTTACGTTAAAATTTACAAGAGGCTTTCATAAATATTCCAAATACTGTTACATTTATATAGCTTAATGTTAGGACCAGTAAGCAGTGCTCTAAAACTAATACTGTATATATTTCTCCCTTTTTCAGGTTCCAACTTCTGATTATGTTGTAAATTACCTTTTTTCCTAATAAATAAATTATAGAGGGTTAAACATATTTGTGCCAATTGCAGGCGATGAGTCACAATAACGTGGCTGAAGTATGTTGACCAGACCACACACTAGAAATTGAATTCTCAATCGACTTGAGAATGGTCCAGGACGGACCGAAACGTCGTCGTCCTTTCAATTTCTAGTGTGTGGTCTGGTCAACATATTTGTGCCAATTGTTTTAGCCATGCACAAAAGGGTGTTGGTTTGTTACAACTCATCCTCCTGTTTAGATAGTACCTATTGTGACGATCATCAATACTCAGAATTCGTACATTCTTAGCTTTTAGATAGTAGTATACTGACTAGTAAGGAATTCTTTTAAAATAAATGAAGCTAAAACACAAACTTATATAATCCTAGGCCTAGTATAGCACACACATATGTACTATATTAGGCCTAGGGAAGTTAGGATAGGTTAGTTTAGTTTGTCAAAGCAACACGAGTAAAAAAAAAAATAGTTTTCCGGTTTGTCTGACTCAATGGTTCAGATTCCTACGTTCTAATTTCATTATACATCGGTATATATACTATGGCCCTCATCCTTATTATAAGTATTACCATAACAGGAGGATGGGCTGGTGTATTCACATCCAGGGAGGCATGCGACATGGCTGCGTAAGGTATGGGACTTTGAGCATTGAGTTCGCAGGTAATGGACATGTGATTGCTAGTTCAGACAGGCGTCAAAAGTCTATTAAAAACTGTTAAATGATCCTTACAGTGAAAGCGAGTTCCAAAGAGGGTCAAGGACGGACAGAGGATGATACGTGCGTGATAGCCCAGGATAACAATAGTAATCGCAAGCTGGAACCCGGCGTTGAAGGGGAAAAATCATTACAACAGTAAAAAGTCAGGCTGCCAACATAAAATACCAAATAAACCCTGGTTGGGAGAGAGAACTGATGAGCATTAAGGACAACTGGGAAAAAAGATTAGTGCTTGAAAAACTACCTTCTGAGACAACTCCATATCTGTAATAGGAGGCAAAGAAAGCAGTCTCAAGGCATATTTTAAAGGTATAGTTGGAGAGGAGACTTTAACGAGAGTAGTAAATTGCCTTGGATGCCAAAAAGAATGCAATTGGTTTAATATTTTTAGGTAGTGTAATACACCTTCTCAAGGTAAAAAGGATGACTAGTTAAATTACTCTCAGAAAAGGAGTTACAAATATAAACTTCCAAATTTATCAAGATAGCTGTGCTATGACACCTACAAAAGATAATTTAAAGGATGAAGATGTCTCAGACGAAGGCACCAAGCCAAGGAGACTACCCACAACCATAGGTGTAGCAGAATAACCCCAAGTGAAGATGCCTTCTACTAGCTTTAATATTAAGAAATTATTTCACCTTTAGCACTCTTGCTTCTAATTATTGCTTCTTGTATTAGGGAAATATTGCACAGATAATATACAGATGTCTAACATCCATTAATCCATAAATTGAAGTTTTAAATTTTGGTATTTTGACTGTTTTAATAGTAAATGATTCAAGGTACTGGTCAATACTTTTTACACTTAACTCTATGTATAGGTGGTTTCTTGCCCGAAACGCTATGCGTGTTTGTGGCTTTGCAAGAAGGTAAAAATACCAATCTTATGTAATCTCACAAACCTTTGTACCTTCTTGTAAATATAAATTATTATTATTATGAGATCAGGGGTGAAAGTGTATTGGAAAGCACCCGATATAAGACTTCTCCAATTAACTGTTGCATGTTTGGGTCAAATCTACTTTACAGTCAAGTTACATACTTCCATACCCAGCACGCACAAATATGAGGTTTTTCTTGTTATTGGCATTACTTTCTCTACACTTCTCTTATTACTTTGCTTTCTTTGGTTTACTCTTATCTTTTACATAAACCTAACCATTTCTAAACATTTATATTTCTCTAGGCAAATCAGAGTCAACTGTTTCATGGATGTGTAGTGGTTGTAACATTAAGTCATGTGGATGTTTTCAGTATGATGCAAATTAATCTGCATCAATTGTAAACACAAATTTTTACTAAAAATGACAAATAAGAAATGGCATAAAATGATGATGATTGACTATGGTATGTATTAAATACTATATATTTCGTTTATAAAGTCATCACAAATATGAACAATACTACAGTACTTAATCTTACAAATCGTTCCAATATAGAATATTTCTTTCTTAGGTGATCTGGTGAAAAAGCAGAATAACAATATATTGATACTAATTATTTACACAATAGATATTACAACCTTCTGCTGACACCTGAATACAGGTGTCAGCATTTATTACAGGTTATGCTTATATACATTGTAACACATGTAGCTATTATACATATTTGTATAGTTACATATGCATAGGTACATAGTTGTATGCATGCATATATACATACAGTACATACATATTATTTTATATATATATATATATATATATATATATATATATATATATATATATATATATATATATATATATATATATATATAATCATATCTATTATAGCAGTAAAGATAATGTTACACAGAACATTAAAGTTCACAAGTACAATAGATTCCAATATTTTACCTGTGATTTACCTTTAACCAGTTTCTTAAGTTGTTCAACTCTTCTATCCTATCATGACACACCTGAATGCACGCACCAGCCCACCACGATGTATCCCGGTGCACGTGGTCAACCACCATGATGCATCCCGGTGCACGTGGTCAACCACCATGATGCACGTGGTCGTCCACCATGATGCATCCCGGTGCACGTGGTCACCCACCATGATGCATCCCGGTGCACGTGGTCAACCACCATGATGCACGTGGTCGTCCACCATGATGCATCCCGGTGCACGTGGTCACCCACCATGATGCATCCAGGTGCACATGGTCACCCACCATGAGCCATCTCAGAGCATATGTCTTCCATCCAAGCTGTCCTACTCACATGTTCTCAGGCAGCTGAATGTTTCTTGGTTATGGGTTTGGGTTCCACTTGAAACGAAGTATTTTTTTTTTTTTGTATGGCTCAGACTAGAAGCTGAAGATGTTGTTGTCCGTGTGAGTGATTACCTGATTATTATACAGGTCTGGCGACTTAGTTGGTTCAAATTAAGCACCAGGCAAATTACAGTTGCATGCAACATGTCAAGTGATGATAAGGGTAAAAGTAAATGCTTTCTCAACATGGCATCTGACTGATAATTCAATCTTTGAGGAAAGCAATAAGGTATACATATAATTTTCAACTTGACTGCGCACGATATATGTGAAGCAATCTGGTATATATACACACATACATGAAAAGCAATTGCAATTTTAATATTGACCAAGAAAATGATAGCCATAGTAGCCACCTGGAAAGCCATATGGAGTATAATTGTACTCTGCTCCACGGCTACTGGCATCATTCATACGATTCTGTGGATCATAGCCATAAGTTAATGGTTCTTCCGACTTGTATGTGGCTAGGGCTGAATCAGAGGGTTTACTTAGTGGGTTGTCAATAACTGCTCTACTGACATTAAGGGCAGAGACTGGGTGGTTTAGCGGACTGGAATTCATAGTTGCTGAGGAAATATCACCTACCCCTGTTGGATCACCCCTAGACAGATCTCGGGTCAAGTCACGGGACAAGTTGTAAGCAGCAGCTGCAGTCAAATTTGCCCCAAGAGATGCATTTACCATTTGAGGGGGTTTTGGTATTCCTGCTGAAGAAAGACCAGGATGAATTAATGAACTTCCTTGGTCACTTGGGTTTATTGAAGAAGAGTCACCATTTTGAGAGCCTCTGTTGATACTTATATCAGAGTTGCTGCCATCTTCATTTGAAGCTCCAGTTGCAATGTTGCTTGGCCCTGCTATATGCTTTATAAGTGGCATATGACTAGATGAGTTATCAGTTTCACCATCTTCGAAGAAGGATTCGTCGTCATCTCTGTGATTATCATCATGTTGTGAACTAACTTGATCACTGTACGGTTCAGCTTTTCTTTGTTTTGAAAATTTTAAATTATTATTTGATTTAAAAGTAGCAAGCCACCCATTAGATGCTTTAAAATCATGGTATCCAAGTTCAGGAGCGATCTGGAGTGCCTTGGCTCGCAACATCCCAGTGGTGATTTTGACACCAGCTACAACTGTCATGTGTCGATACCATTGTATGAGATGCTGATTAAGTAAAGCATATTCACTCTTCCTTTGTCTTTTCATGGTGAGCTTTTCTCCCCGTAGAAGACTATCTCGGTAAATTGTAAGTATCTCCTCTCTCCTTTTAATTATGCCACTAACTTGAGTCTTTCCAATTCCATAAAGGTGAGCAATCTGCCTTTGTGACTTTCCATCCAAAAAGGCTTCAATGACTTTCACCTTTTCCTCCAGAGTAAGGGTTGTTCGTGTTTGTTTCTCTCTCTCCTTTACTGGAGGCAAGGTAAACAGAGACAGTGGGTTAATTGCCGGAAACTTCACATCATCTGAAGATTCCTCAAATTTATCTTCTGGTATTCTTTTTTCTGAAAGTTCCCACACATCTGAGTCTTTATTTTCATTAGTAACCGATTTGATAGCCATTTGTACTTTGGTATTTTCTTCTGGTGTAGATTTAGGAGACAAAATATTTTCCTTATTTCTATTACTTTTTGCAGTATCCTCATCAGTTGGAAAAGGAGGGTCACAGTTCACACTAACTTTTTCCATCGATTCCAAAACGGAAGCAACTGTCTTTTTCTTCAGTCTTTCTAATGCCCTTGTTATTGGTCTCTCATTAGAATCTGAGCCAAACAGTGACCTCCTCTCTTTTGCCAGCCACTTTTTTCTACCTTCGTCTAATGTTCGCCTGGCTTTGAATTTACGTTTTGCTCTTTTTAATGGCAAAGATGTACAGAAAAGAGGTTTTCGCTTTACTATGCTTCGCCATCCGTCAAGATCCTGTCCTGTGGTTAGACTGATTGTCAATGGGCCATCTTCACACGGAACCTCCAGGGTTTTTTCCACCAAAGGAAGAACTAATGACGCTGCATCTTCATTCTTCGAGGGTGGGCTTTTGTGTCGAAGGAGATGCAGGTCTGAAAGAGAAGAGGAAACTTACAAGTCATGGTTCTGTCATTGACTGCATTTATGATAATAGAAACATACTAACAAATATTATAGAAACAGTTCACAAAGAATATACTTAAAACAAGCTTTGTGGCTTGTTTTCACAACAAACAGTTGTGAAGTTTTGATGACCGAACCATAACATTGTCAAGTTGCCAATTCTCTTACGGCCTCTTGTGACATATGTAAACATTTTCGTTATTCAATACTTATATGCATAAGAAAAATTACTTTAACGGTACATAAAAAAAGGAAAAATCATTTGGGTTATAATAAAACCAATGCACATATACACAATAATCATGGAATATTACATCTGCCAAAGAAAAGTCTATTTCACTAACACTAGAATGCAAGGAAAAATATCTGTGTTGTAGGGTTTTCCTTCTAAGATATCTACAGATTACAGTGCTCAAATCTAAATTATTTTAAGGACAAAAATGCACAAGAATATTCCTAACAAAAACTAATATTAGTTTCAAAGGGGACTTGCCTCCTAGCATAAACTATATGGTAAGCTATATGGATTAATTGTCAATAATTTAAAAACAAAAACCCTGTGGTATATGCAAAAAATAATCATGTTTGAAATATATTAAAATAAATGCCTCATTAAGTTGTCTTCATTAGTTACATTTTCAGTTAAGAAGGGGAAAAATATTTCTCTCTCTCTCTCTCTCTCTCTCTCTTGCCCTCTCTCTCTCTTGCCCTCTCTCTCTCTCTCTCTCTCTCTTGCCCTCTCTCTCTCTCTCTCGCTCTCTCTCTCTCTCTCTTGGTCTCTCTCGCTCTCGGTCTCTTGCTCTCTCTCTGTTTCACACACTCTCTCTCTCTCTCTCTCTTGCCCTGCTCTCTCTCTCTCTCTCTCTCTCTCTCTGCCCTCTCTCTCTCTTCCCTCTCTCTCTTGCCCTCTCTCTCTCTCTTGCCCTCTCTCTCTCCTCTCTCTCTCTCTCTCTCTTGCCCTCTCTCTCTCTCTCTCTCTCTCTCTCTCTCTCTCTCTCTCTCTCTCTTGCCCTCTCTCTCTCTCTCTCTCTCTCTTGCCCTCTCTCTCTCTCTCTCTCTCTTGCCCTCTCTCTCTCTTGCCCTCTCTCTCTCTCTCTCTCTCTCTCTCTCTCTCTCTCTCTCTCTCTTGCCCTCTCTCTCTCTCTCTCGCTCTCTCTCTCTCTCTCTCTTGGTCTCTCTCTCTCTCTCTCTCGCTCTCTCTCTCTCTCTCTTGGTCTCTCTCGCTCTCGGTCTCTCGCTCTCTCTCTCTCTCTGTTTCACTCTCACTCTCTCTCTCTCTGTTTCACTCTCACTCTCTCTCTCTCTCTCTCTCTCTCTCTCTCTCTCTCTCTCCCCCCTGAATTGATGAAAACTTGTGAAATGGTGCTGCACAGTGGTAAAAGACAGCAGCTTTTTCCAATCATCAGAAAAGTCTGACCTTAACCTTCTTCTCCAATACAAAAACTTGCAAAAGTATGGAGGTCACAGTCACGGCGACGAAGTTTGATGACTGACCAAGTCTTTTCTGGATAACATTATTGGAAGGTCATTGCCTATCCTTAACTCTATAAAGTAAGATTAACTGTCACTATATTCTCTTATGCACTAGAGAGCATTTTATTGTTTTGTTTGGTAGTAAGTAAATTATGGAATACAGTTACCCCACACCTCCCTTCGATTCATCTTCCCTCTTGCCTTGTATTACACACACTAGCTTATCAGAACTTTATAAGTGTCCAGGGCAGATCAAAATGTCATTACAGGAGAGGAGGCGTGGTCGACGACCGGGCCGCAGGGACACTAAGCCCCGGAAGCACCTCAAGGTAACCAGTACTTTCATTTCATGTGTGATGGTTGAGTTAATATTTCATCATGGACAAAAGTGTCACCACATGCCTAAGGTGCTGATTTGTACAATGTCCCTCCACATCAACTAAAATTGAAGACTCTTGTCTCTTCTCGACAACATTCTTGAAGAGAAACAGAAAACGCAGTAAAGACTAGAGTGGCATAAAGTCACAAGCAGTTGGGCACTCCTTGTTTGAATCTTGTTTTTAACTGGCCAGAAAATTTGCTTCTCAACCATAATGCAGGGCATAGACCACTTCTATACACAAGGATAGAAGGGGCTTGTGGGGATGAGAGAGTGCACAGAGGTGGAGGAGAAAGAGTGTGTGCATACCGAGGGAAAAGCAAGTGAAGAGGAAAAGAGGGATAGGAAGGAGGATAATGATTGAATGTGAATGAAGAATGGGGTAATAAGGGAGGAGTGATGTACATAAATTTTCTTGAATAAAAGTGACAAGCCAGCTGGGAAGGGTAAACAAATTTCTGATTTCAATACAGTAATTTCTTGAAGAGATTACCAGCCAGGTTAACTAAACGGTAATAATAATAATACTAGTAATAATAATAATAATAATAATAATAATAATAATAATAAAAACCAGCGTTGAATGTAATGAAACGCTATTTTCTGGGTGAGTCCCGGAGGTTCCCCGGAGCTATCCCAGGCTGATATGGTAATGTCAGACTTTAGCATCAGTCATGTGTATGAAGTTCTATGGGTCTACCGGGGACCACGAGCCAGAACCAGGCCCCCTCAGAGAGGCAAAGGGAGCAATGGCCTATAGAAACCCCCGTGTGGTTGGAAGCATTCTGTCTGCCATCGACCAGGTCAGGCACCCAGAAAGGTAAGCGTCCCAAAACAAACCCATATTCTGGTGAAAATTGCTACCAGAAGCCGAACAAGTGGATAGAACTCCCCTAAAAGAAACAAGCAAATGATCATGACGTCACACGTCACCCCACCACTGTCTGCGCAGCTCCCCCCCTTCCCGGGAGGGGGAAGGGGGAACCCCAGACCTATCACGCCAGCTATCCACCATCAGTTCTGAGATTGCATGTCAAAAAACGCGAAAAATCGCCGACCAGAGGGAGGAAGGGATGCTGGGGAGCCTCTGGGTCTCACCCAGAAAATGGCGTTTCATTACATTCAATGCTGGTTTTCTTAGGGGGGAGCCCCCTTCGGCTCCCCGGAGCTAACTACCCACAGAAGAAAAAAAGAGGGACATAGCCAGGAGGCGGTCGCTGCACACTCCCCAACTCAAAGTCGAGACAACTGGCTGCAACTGCCAACCCAAGGCGACACAGGCCCGAATGGGCCCGGGAGCGACACGAGACATCGAGCAGCCAGGCCCCTGTACAATTGCCAAAAGCCCTGTGCCCGAATGTCAGCTAGGACATGCCACCAAGATGGCAGCAAGAGCAGCGAATCTACGACTGCCATACCTTGAGGTGCTTCCGAGGCTTAACGTCCCCGCGGGCCGGTTGTCGAAGTCATAGGCATGGGGATAGAACACAGGCAGGTCAGCCGCAATAACATTGTGGACGACCTGGGAGACCTTCACCCACGAACAGGGAAGAACGGAACCGTAGCAACCCAAAGCGCGTCCCGAACACAGAAGCCGTGGCACGCAAATAAAAGCGGAGGGCTGCAACCGGACACAAAACACGATGCACCCCTGGCCCGACCAACCAAGCACCAACAAACCAAGGACCCCTCCGGAAAGCAGCAGCCTCATTCCGTTCCAGAAAAGAGGGAGACGGCTGCAACCGAACAAACCAATCGCCACGACCGAAGGAGAGAAAGAAGCTCAGCAACCCGACCCCGATCTCTGGCCAAATGCCAACAGGAAAAGAGCCTTCGAGAAACAAACCCAAACCGAAGGGGTCACAACCAACCGAGGAAAAGAAAGAGCATGCTGTCCAGAGACCAGGACGGCTCAGGCAGTGCATGAGCAGGCTGGAGGTGAAACAATGCACGAGACAGCTTACGAACGGCGCAGATGTAACACCAAGACCGAAAACAAGCCAAAGCGGCTCTGCCAGCGCCGGACGAAACGAGACGACAGTATGTGCCAAGATGACATACTGTCATCTTGCCACGATGACAACTCTGAACCCCCACCAGAAAAACCAAGCTGATGCCAACAAATGCAGCCACCTAAGAAGGGACAGAAGGAAAAGGAAGGACAGCCAAAATACCCCATACTGCTGCCAAGAAGAAGCATGCAGGTGGGACACCAACAACGAAGCCACCGATCACCAACCGAAGGTGAGAGACTCGAGGCAGAGCCTAACCAGCCCCGTTAAGGTTCATTTGAGCCTAGGAAGAGGCGGAGCTGCGGGAAAATCTCGGGTGCGACCACCGAGCAAGCAGAGCCGGAAACCCAAGCCGGCAAAGAAGGAGACGGAACGTCTGCCGAACAGAAAACTCCCCAGCGCGAGCGAGCTCGCCAGGAGATCGGAGACTACTGGTCCAATGCGAGACTCCAGAGAAGGGACACTGCGAGACCCTGAAAATGCCAACAGGCAGAGCAAGCCAGGAAAACAGGAACCCAAACCTTGCAACAGGAAGGCCAAAAGGCACAAACAAAACACACAACGGTGTGTAGGAGAAAACAAGAAAATGACCAAAAGAACAGCCCAGCACCAGCGGCCAGGGACATGAGTGAAGCAGGAAGATGAAGAACGAAGAAGACATGCAGCAAATCGGGAACGAAAGGGACACGACCAACCCACAGTCACAGGCCCTGTCCCAACAAACCAAACTGAAGGAGGTGCTAAGGGTTGCCACCTTACCAGCACCCGAACCAAGGGGTACAAGCAACGAAGACAGACCCATGCACACAAGTGCACACGCACCATGTGACACAGGCGGAAGGAGCGCCCAAAGAAACGCAAGAAGGAAACATTCCAGTGGCAGAATAGTAAACAAATGGAATGCACGAGGAAGGGAAGTGGTGGAGGCCAACCCCACACATAGCTGCAAGTGCAGACCTGACAGAGCCCAGTAGATATCAGGGAGTGACAGGGGAGAGGCAGGACAAAAGAGCCAAAGCTCAACCCCAGGAAGCACAACCAGGGGTGGACAACTAGGCAAGGACCGAGAAACCAATGTACATGGAAGGGCCAAGCCAGGAACTCTTACGCTGGGAAAGGAAAGAGGGACCCCCAGCCACAAAACTGCCGCAAAATGTCACCCCACAACATCCTGACAAAGTAACAAGTACCACATTTCACCTTGGTACATGTTACTAATGCACACGTGCACCAGCAACATGCACCACACGCAACATGCAACATGTAACATGTAACAAGGAACATGTAGTAACTTCTCTCGGCGAAGGCAGAGAAATGGTGGAGGCTGACTCCAGACAGGGTCAAATGTAGATATGATAGAGCCCAGCAGGCGCACAACAGGTGACCGACGGCAGAGAGGCGGGACCAAAGAGCCAGAGCTCAATCCCCGCAAGCACGACCAGGTGAGCACAACTAGGCGAGTACATAATCTGCACCTCAACCATCGTACCTCGCAACGTGGATGAGGTGCGTCCCTTGATCGACTCGAGCATGGGTTGGACATGCATATGAGTGGGACTGGATGGGTAGGGGCAGTCACTTGTGTGCTGACTGTCTGATATCCGTATCCAAAAACCACGAACCAGCGCCCAGCCGAAAGAGATGCCAGACCGAAGAAACTCACCTGCCGAACATAGCCACGAACGTGTCATGACAACGTTACCGAGAAGATCCCGGGAACACCACCAGGGGAAGAAGGCCAGAGCCGCACACGCAGGAGAGCAGGGTAGAGGCGAAGGAGGCGCCCCACACCCATGACACAGGGAAAACCCCGGGGTCCTCCCCATAGCTGCAATCCAGAACACCCCAGGAGCTACGGGGCATAGACCGGAGAATGGAGAAGAGCCTAAGGTGAAGCACCCGAGAAAAAAGGATGCAAAACACCAGCACTGGTACACACTGCCCAGACCAAAACAAACTCCCACGGTACATGCGCAGGACACGCTGTCTGAACCGCACAACCTGCTCGGCGGGAAGGCGCCAACTAGGACTACTGTACACGAAAAGTAGCCAAATAGTAAGCGACCCAAGTGAACCGCTAAATAGAAGAAACAGCCCATCTCATGGGACAAGAGCTAAAAGCGACAATATAGCCGGCTAACGTAATGAAGACAAGGAACCTAATTGGGAACCCAATTGGGCTACTTGCCCTAATCCGGCGTCCCGAACTAGGAGTATGTAAAGAAAATGAGCAGTGCCGAGACAGAGCACGGAGAGAAAAGACAGCACAAAAGAACGAGACAGGACTAAACACCATGAAGAAGCACAGAAGAGAACCAACAAGTCCTGGAAAGGACCGGAGGGAAGTCACACCGAAAGACGATAGACATTCCAATAATACAGGAAGTAGCAGAACAAGGGAGACAGAACACCTGAGCACACAAAGGGCAGCCGAAAACCAAGCAGTAAACGGGCCCAGCAGGGGCAGAACCCAAGGAACTTGTGGAAGTTCCTTGGGTTCCTGCCCCAAGCCCCAAGGGCAGTACTTACAGGGCACTTAGATAAGGAAACTTTAGGTACATGCAGCCCGAGTCCTGGAGAATCACTCCCAGCTCACGCACCACCTAGAAGACAGTCACCACATTCTAGGTACAGTGCTGAAACAACCACCAGAGCCAGAGCACACAACCTCAGCTTCTAGTATCAGCCGAAGAATTGATGGTGGATAGCCGGCGCGGTAGGTCTGGAGCTCCCCCTTCCCCCTCCCGGGGAAGGGGTAGCTGCGCAGACAGTGGTGCGGTGACGTGTGACGTCATGATCGTTTGCTTGTTTCTTTTAGGGGAGTTCTATCCACTTGTTCAGCTTGTGGTAGAAATTTTCACCATAATAGGGGTTTGTTTTGGGACGCTTACCTTTCTGGGTGCCTGACCCGGTCGATGGCAGACATAGAATGCTTCCAACCACACGGGGGTTTCTATAGGCCATTGCTCCCCTTGCCTCTCTGAGGGGGCCAGGTTCTGGCTCGTGGTCCCCGGTAGACCCATAGAACTCCGTACACATGACTGATGCCAAAGTCTGACATTACCATATCAGCCTGGATAAGCTCCGGGGAGCTGAAGGGGCTCCCCCCAGAAAACAAGTGGAACACCAAAAAAACAGCAACTTGCAACCCCATACAAATGGTGAGAGCCTTGTGCCACATGCATAGATCAGCAGAAAACATCAAACCTGCAAGGCACTGGGACGATCTGCAGAAAGAAGCTGAACTATGGGAAAACCTCCCTTGTTCAGACACCAAGCCAGAAAACCAGCATTGAATGTAATGAAATGCCAATTTATGGGTGAGCCCCAGTGGCTCCCTGTAGATGGTTACATCTACTAGGTCACATCAGCCATAGAGTTCTAGAGGTTTAGCAAGGACCAGAGCCAGAACTCTTGGGAATGCAATCTCATTTAAAATATTTTCTTCAAGTTTCGTCTCTGTTAATGCGACAATATCTGGGACCTTAAGCTGAATTATATCTTTCAGCTCCAATATTTTTTTTGTCACTCCATCTATGGTGGTATACAATATTTTCAGGAACATGTTCTCGTTCCCTTTATACTTTACTCCCCTTTCCTATAATGATTTTGTTGCTTTGTTTTTATGTACCGTTTCACTAGCTTTCCAGTCCCCAACATTCTGTAGAAAAAAATAATTTATTTCTTCTCATTTCTATCCCCATTTAGATGTTTCACTTCAATGACGTTCATTTTCAGCTTTTCTCTCTCTTTCTTTAATTAAGAGGTCTTGTCTTATTGACCAAAGTGTGCCAACTTCATCACACTGCAATTTCTTGGAATTTTTAAGCACTTCCATCATATGTTTCACTTCATTAAATGTCGCCATTAAGGGGCGGTTCTTGTTTGCCTTATATTTTCCTATCCTAAAAATAAAAACACAACACACATACAAAAAGAGTGAGTGAGTGAGTGAGTGAGTGAGTGTGTGTGTGTGTGTGTGTGTGTGTGTGTGTGTGTGTGTGTGTGTGTGTGTGTGGGGGGGGGGGGGGGGAGCTATCTCAAATGTCGCTAACTGCTGCAGGGAGCCACTAATGCCACTTCACAAAAGAAATTGAATTAGAAACTTACCATTATCTGTTGTGGTGATGGAGGTGAGACTGATGGTCCGTGGTTTATGTCGTTTTCTTTCTTCCAACTGAAATGAGACCAATTACTATTAAAGAAATAATACAACTATTTTTTAATATGCAAATTTAAATAAACATTCAAGGCATAATGCATGTAATTTCTTCCACCTCATTGTCCTATAATATACATTTATTTGTGCTTACTTATGCCATTGATTTTCCATTTTATTTTATCGCTTGTAAATTCTTGCCTGAGCATTACATGTACTTTAGTGAAACAGATTTTATAGTACTGTTCTTTAATGTTTATTATAAAAAAAAAAATTCTTATTTTGTACCTTCCAATTATCATTACCGTCATATTCTGCTTTCATGGAGTGTGTAGGCACCAACCCATGGAAGACGGATATACAGCTCAAGACAATAACTTTTCAGATGGTTTCACATTATCAGAAGCAGGAAGCATGTCATGCTTATCCAGGTCCCAGGATGCCATCAACACAACACAATATATGGTTTGACTGTAAGATACACACAGTCCAAATATGCTTTACAAATAGTACTGTACATCTTAACTGCTTATGGAAAGCAAAATTGCATATACAGTATTGCAAAACTTCGTAAGGTATTGTTTGCATCCAAAACTACTGGACTAGGTTTTAACCCAAGGCATCATGGCATAGGTGGAGAACTTTTGAAGCAGAAATACATAATTGCTTTTATATATCTTTCAAGGATCTATCTTGAGGTTATCTTGAGATGATTTCGGGGCTTTAGTGTCCCCGCAGCCCGGTCCTCGACCAGGCCTCCACCCCCAGGAAGCAGCCCGTGACAGTTGACTAACACCCAGGTACCTAATTTACTGCTAGGTAACAGGGGCATAGGGTGAAAGAAACCTTGCCCATTGTTTCTCGCCGGCGCCTGGGATCGAACCCAGGACCACAGGATCACAAGTCCAGCGTGCTGTCCGCTCGGCCGACCGGCTCCCTTACTCAAACTTAGGATACTCAAACCTTCCCAATGATTTAGCAAATAATTAAATTCTGCTGTGAGGGGGTTACATGGCCAAATAATAATAATAATACAGTAATAATAATAATACAGTAATAATAATAATAGCAATAATAATAATAATAATAATAATAATAATAATAATAATAATAATAATAATAATAATAATAATAATAATGACTCTTGCATCATCATACACACATTTTAAAAAATTCCATTCAATATGTGATGGAGTTCTCCATATAATCTCACAGGTACTGTACTTAACAATTTGGAACAAAAATAACAAATTATTCACTAAATAATTATTCACCAACACTTGAAGAAGCACAAGATAACTAAGAACGTTTGAAGAAATGCCTGAGACAAGTACCAGACATACATGAGTTTTAAGAGCAAGCCAAGAGAAAGTTGCCTTTCCCTTCGAGTTGTCACATCATAAAAAAATGATATACAGTACTAAATTCCCTGAACCTAACCTAACTGATGGTCCCACAAACAGAAAATGAGACACCACATCAATTCTGCGAGCTGCTATGATTTATAATATATCTTGAAGCTGGGAATTCTGATGTCAAAATGTGATGAATTATGCAAGAGGACAAGTCGGAGAAAGAGCCTAGGATTGGATGGGATATGATAATACTCAAGACACCGGGGATGCTTTAGTCATTTTTTATGCACCCCATACCGATCCTGTAGGCAGTGGTGGATATGGCTACAGAGGCACATAATAGGCTCAGGAACTGAACCCCACAGTTCATTAAGCTCAGCAAATAACAATCAGTAGTTACAGTTTTTAAAATACTAAACATATCAATGGTTTTTTTCCTAACAGTCTCTATACACTGCAATTTACATCTGTGGTGAGTGTGCAAACAGTTACCAGTGATACTCGTACACCCATCCAACTGGGTGGCAGCTTTATAGTCACGAGCATGCATTATCCTACAATAAGCAAACCTTGGATAGTTGGCTAAGACCTAGGATAATTGAAAACGTGAACAGCATTCTCCAGTTGAGGCACAATAGAGTAAGAGGAGCATGGATGGAAGAAGGAATCAAACACAAGCTTTAGAAATGTAAGGAAATATTTATATGCAGTAAGAGTGGGCAACCACCATTCACATTCAAGAGTGAAACTGATCCAGCCACCTGAGCACCTGATTATTGAGTACAGTAATTTAGAGCTTCCCCCTTGCGACTTTCCAAGACTGCATAATGCACTCCATACAAACAGTAGCATCTTGCTTAAGGGAGCAACCTAATGATACACATCAGAAACAAAAGTTTCTCACAATAACACAGGGGAATAGTAAACTTAAATTTATGTTAAATAATAAAAATAACACTTAAGAGCTCAAAACAATTACTCTTACCTTGGTTCCTATACGTCCCCAGTCAGGATCAGAAACGGGATCAAGGGTCTCCTCAGAACACAGGCTTTCTTGCTGCTGTGAAATATATAATAAATATAGTTTTCAAAGTTAGATAAACTTCATTTGCATGAGGGCAATCAAGGAAGTTATCTCCGATACCCTATGCTGGAACATCTCGGGATGCAAACATTACTTTGAAATACTGTACAGTGAAGTCCACCTCGAACAAATCTCCCACTAATGTACCTCTCTAAACGGCAGAAATTTTAATGTCCTGTAATATCTTCAAAAAATGGACAAAAATGTCATACAATACTACATGCCACTGGAGGAAGAGTTACTCAAGACATTTAAGAATACAGTACAGTACAATACTCAGGACTTGCTATTAATAAAAGTACCTGGCCTGTCACTTTCCTTTACTTAATCATTTTTTATTATTAAGTAAATAAGAGTTGTTTTTTTTTCTTTTCGTTAGTTGCCTGGTGGAGAGTCTGCTCCTTGGTCATTGTCCACCCTCTGTTATTCTGATGGTTCCCCGCTAAGTCCCCATGATTGTACACTTCACAGGGGTTCAGCTTTAATTGTCCTCTTGGTAGTTTGGGCCAACCGGTTAGCAGTATTTTGCCTGGGCTTCCATTAGCAGTCAGCCTAAGAACCCTGAAAAACCACATTGGGGCTCATTGGTCTGGTGGATGTGTCCTCTGGGTCCCATCTCGCCTCGTGTGAGATTGAAGATTGCTCTGTCCCTTGACTCAGGGTGACATTCACCGGTTTTGCCTCAGGCATGTTGCCTGTTGGGTCAATGACACCTCTGACCCGGAGTCCTCGTGCCTCTCTGAGTGGGCCAGGATCTGGCTCGTGATCCCCGGTAAGCTAGAACTGCATTCAAATTGACTGATGCCACGGTCTAATACATAGACATATATCAGCCTGGTATAGCTCTGGGGCACCAGAGGGGCTCTCCACAGAAAATATGAGTAGTATTCTGAATAAATTGTATTTTTATGGTAATATTTTTGGGTGTGTGAAACAGATTATTTCAAATGGGAAAATTTTATTTGGTGTACAAATATTCGGGTTATGTTGCATTTTTTGGATAGGATTAAATTTGTACACCGAGGTTCCACTGTGTGTGTGTGTGTAATTACCCAAGTGTAGTTACAGGATGAGAGCTATGCTCAGTGTCGCGTCTTCCCAATACAGTACTGTCATATAATGTTGTGTGTGTTAATTTAGTAATCCATTTCCAAGAGGATTATTATTGCAAAGGTGAAGAAGTAACACCTGTATCTCTGGGAATCAAAATATGTGTTCAATTACACACATTAATGAAAACACTTCAGATGTACTGTACTGTATTATATACCCAAAATTACTGAAAACAACAAAATGAGAAATCCTTTCCCATGAAATGGGGTGTGTCCTGTCTTAACCCTTAAACTGCGCAACGCGCCTGCAGGCTCACGTCTGGTTTGCGCAACGCGCCTCCGGGTATTTGTATTTTTCACGTTCCATTCAAAACTCCCACGGCTACATGGGGTTCACATCAGCTTCCTCAGGGCTCTTGTAAACAGACGCCATCTTTAAAAAAAATCGTGGTCCACATTCCCGGGTATGGGAGCCTCAGTAGTGTGTGAGCAACCAAGGCTGGCGCTCGCAGCATGAGCGCACAGCACTGCTGTTCAGCATGTGACCACAGCATCGCCTAATAATGTCAAAATATATATATAACTTGTATTATTTAGCTATGATAGTGTTATATTAGAGCCTGAGTGTGATAATGACTGGGTACAATGTTCAAATTTCAGTAATTCAATGCTGTTCACGATGTTCACAGCGCTAGCCACAGCACCACAGCATTATTTCGTTCATCTAGGAATCTTCAAATGATTTCTTAGGTTCCTTTTCAAATTAGACATGTGGTCAATTATTCATTTACAGGAATTAGTGACCAGGATTGTGATAATAGCAGGATTGTGGTTATAATTAGCGTTGTGCGTAGTATTGTGGAAGGAGGAATTTTGATGAGGGAGGGAGGGCGAGAATTGAGGTAGCCTCATTGTGTGTGTGTGGCTGCCACTCTTGTTTTGCTCACCATACTAGCTTAGTGGTTCGCTATGGGCAACACATATGTACATGGGTATATATAGTGTGTGTATATAGTGTATGAACAGCAACAGGAGAATGTTGAGAGGAGCTATTTTGGTGAGGGAGGTGACGTAATCGTAGAGTCGTCTGCTGTGTGATTTTTCATGCAGTGTGTGGTGGCCACTGTACTGTTTGGACACAATACCAGCTTACTTGCATAGTTCTGGTAAATAAAACATGTAGATAGGTATATAGACCATGTGTAATAAGAACTATAACAATATGGTGGGAGGAGCAATGTTGACGAGTAAGACGTTGGAGTGAGGGAGAATGGCTGGGTGTGGCTGCTCTCACTCGAGGTGTTCTGAATGTGTTCATGGCCAAATGCTCCTATTGGCCCATACGAGGCAGCTGCTATTGGCCCAAACGAGGCAGCTGCTATTGGCCCATACGATGCAGCTGCTATTGGCCCATACGAGGCAGCTGCTATTGGCCCATACGAGGCAGCTGCTATTGGCCCATACGAGGCGGCTGCTATTGGCCCATACGAGGCGGCTGCTATTGGCCCATACGAGGCAGCTGCTATTGGCCCATACGAGGCAGCTGCTATTGGCCCATACGGGGCACCTGCTATTGGCCCATACGAGGCAGCTGATATTGGCCCATACGAGGCAGCTGCTGTTGGCCCATACGAAGCAGCTGCTACGCGGTGTTCTGAATGTGTTGATGATGAATGTATATAGTGTGTGACAGTGTATAGTGTGTAAATAGATTGTATATATACACAAATTAGCATGATACATAGTAAATATGTGCTGCATATGTGTACACAAGTTTCATGCACGTAACACAGTGTCTACGGACAGTACGGATGTTGTACTGCGATATTATAGTGTACGTGTTCATTATACATTGGATTGGCACATAAAAACAATTAAAATGTATTTGGAAAGGTGCGCAAAAAATGAACGAAAATATATTCGCGGCAACTCGCACACCCCGCCCCGAGCGCCCCACCGCCCCCGAGAGCTTACGGCACGTGCGCACGGGGAATGATGACGTCACGCCCCAACTTCCGGACCCCATAGCAGCCAAAGTAAGTACAATTTCGACTTTTTTTTTACATACCCATACTGAGGGAAGGGTTTTTGACACTTTAAAAAGAAAAAATAATTTTTTCCAGAGAATTTATTTCCTGCGCACTGCGGGGGTGTCACATTTGGAGGCAACGCAGTTAAGGGGTTAATCGATCTGTCCGAGGGGGACTTCACTATATTCTTAAAATAACAAATATAGATAAATATTGAATATCTGTATAAAATTATATTTCACTTTTATTAGTCAATTATAACTATCAGTGAACAGTCAAAGCATTAGCAAAGGAAGATTATAATAACATTACTGATGATAAAACTATCATTCCATGCCAAATCAAAGAAGTGGACTTTTCAATCCAATCATCTCAGATTTTCATAAAATTCTGTAGGATGTTTAATTTGAAGTAATTTGCGCATACTGTACAAAATTTTATCCCTCAGTGATGCACAGTATTCATATGCAGCAGCAGGATTGCCAATGCAATAGAAAAATATAATTTCAAGATCACACGACAACCTTTGACGCTGAATACATAAAAACGTGTATCTAACTTTTTTTGGTATAAAAATATGCTATACATAGTTAAAATGCATTCTCTCATTGGTTAAGTTTTTATTTTGGGATGGTTTAGAGAACAGGAGTAAAAAACAAAAATCATCAAAGTAGCATACTGTACCTCGCAGTTGATGAAATGCTTTAGCACTGGTTTATGGAAATTACAGTCTCAATGAAATATATATATAATGCCTCAGAATACGAGGGTGTTGATACGCGAACGGGTCGACTAGCGCGTAGTGGCACGGCGATCACCGCTCAGTTTACCAGTGCCTCGTGCCCAGTGACTATCCCGCCTCAATTCTTCAACAGGATTTAGTGTTTTGTTGGATATCTGGCCATTTGAACATAGAAGTTATTATATATCTCGCAATGGGTCCCAAGAAAGCCAGTGGTAAGATTCAACCTAAGAAAATAGTTGAGTAGAGGATGTCCCTTCCTCATTAAGAAAATGTGTGAAGTATGGGAAGAACTGCAATGTTTTGGTGAAAAAACTCACCCAGATAAAGCTGTAGCAGGCTGTTGCATTGACTTTTTAAATGACAATGTGATGTCTTACTACAGACAAGTGTTAAAATGTAGGGAAAAACAAGTGTCTTTAGACAGATTCTTAGTAAGACAAGCAAGCAGTGAGCCACAAGCAGGTCCTAGTGGTATGCAGGCAAGACGTGCCAGAGTGTGCACACCAGAGAAGTCCTCACTGCCTGATGTTATAATGGAAGGGGCCTCCCCATCCAAACAGTAACACCTCTCCTCCTCCCCCCCTCCTCACCATCTTCCATACACCAACAGCAGTCATCAGCAATGGTAAGTAATAACTTGAACATAGTTTTGTAGTGTAGATTTTGATGAATTAGGTATAAAATTTAGTTTCAAGTGAGGTTTTTGGGTAGTCAGAAACGGATTAATTCATTTCCCATTATTTCTTGTGGGGAAATTAGCTTCGGGTTACGAGCTGTCTCCAGGAACGGATTAAACTCTTAAAGCGAGGTACCCCTGTATTTAATGGTTACAAGATATACATTGGTTAATACAAAACGTGCTTAAAGGTTATGGATCTCTTGACGCTCCTCTGCTTCCAGACAGGAACCGAGGATGCAGCAGGCATTTCCCCTCTGGATCGCCATACAGTATTGAGGCGCTGAAACAAAAAACTGGCAGCCCTTGGGTCTCTGGTGATGTCAATGAACCTGGAAGCCAATTCCTTGAGAAATCCCAAGGCACTCTTACCCCAGGGGCCATCTGTCTCAGATGCTATGGGAACAAAGGTGTATTGACCTTCCAATCATCTGTATTTGGCTGATTTTGCTATTTCCCTGTGGTTAGCTGCC